AACCCCGTAGGTTAACGACGGCTTAAATTCGACGGTAACGCCCGAAAGTACCTTCAGGCGGGATACTCGAGATTCGCTTTCGCGGGGAAAAGCGCCTTTTCCCTTTGGAGGGACCGGCTCGTAACCGTTCCCCGGGGTCCGTTGCAAAATGGAACCACATCACACAAACGCCATCGGACCCTCCGTGTCGTTATCTTATTTACACTCCAACTTCTTTAACAGGATTGGGGACCGGTGTCTTCGAAATTCTGATGCCCACAGGACTCGTTCTTTATACAAGCACGCGTGGGATGCATCGCTATGAGATAATCTGCTTCCTGTTCATAGTTCGCGATGGCGAAGAGCCGATAGAATAGCGAGGATTAAATGTTGGAACTTTCAAAGCATCGGAGGTAAAAGTAATATTGGCTCTCGGGCAAAATGAAAGAATCTAGTAAACAATTGATCAAATTTAAAGTTTATTATTATATAAAATCAAATATTTATTCTAGAAAGTAAATATAATTTTTATAAAATAAATACAGCTCTCTTTTTGCTTTTCAAAGACTCTATCTAATATTTAATTACATAAAAACAAACATATGACACACTTATGCAATAATGTCAAATTGTATAATTTTCCCAAAATAGCAAATTAACATAATACTTATTTAGAAATTAAGTCGATTAGATAAGAATTAAGAAAAGTGAAATCAAAATGTTATTTTCGCGTTTAATAATAGACGTGACGAAATGGCAGCTTCGATTCGATAAACAGAGAGCTTCATGTAAAGTTCGATTACGGTGGCGAGCGCGTAAATCATCCGCCCGGTGGGCTTGTTTCGTCGACAATTTGACGGTGCGATTGTTTTCTGAATATAGTAGCAGGGGATGCTATCGGAGTCATACGAAATGTCAGGTAGATCTCGCGCAGCTGCTATGATAAGCCGGTCCTCGGCCGAGGTCTCTATAAATTTTTCTAGTCGATAATGGGCGCACATAAGTTAAATGATTTAACGGTCTATGACATATTTATCGGAAAATCGACGGTGTAATTTCAAACGACGATTTATGCGTCTTCGGCGCTTCGAATAAGGCTGAGAAAATACTTTTTTTATCATTTACTTTATGATTAATAATTTGCATGATTAGAGAGTAGGTACATAGTAAAATTTTGAAAATACATTGCAAAACTAAAGATTATTCCAAATTTTAGATTAAAAATATTATCAGTCTGTAAATCGGTGTTATTTAAAAATATATTCTAAGCGATATTATTATGTCTGTTTTTAGTGTACGCATGCAGTTATTATACTCTGAAGAAATTTTACAGCGCATATTAAGATACATCTTCGCGGAAACAACTCGTCAGCAAAACGTATAATTGCGAATAAATTCGATCGCACTGGGACGTACAAACCGCGTTACAGCGAACCGTCGAAACAATAAGCGTCCATTACAAATTGATGCCGCGGTGCTCGCGGAGGGACGAGCAGCAAATTGAAAATGATCGCTGGAGAGACCCGTCCAAATCCAAGTTTAACTCGTCGAGTTATCAGTGTTCCCATTGATTTCAAGTGTCACTTGCCATTAACGAACCACCGCTCACGCTTCGCGGTCATCTGAAACCGCCGCGCAGATTAGAAATTCAAAATCCAAACTGTTTTCATTAACTTTCGTTTCCAAGATGAACCTTTAATTTACGAAAGATGAAGCGTCCTGTCCCATTTCTTATTAAGGATCTTTTTTATTTATTGTTTTGTTTTATGTTTTTTTTTTCAAAAAATAATTCCATCCGGTTTGCACGTTTACAAGAGTTCGTTAGCTATCCCGGTAGTCCAGGAGTTATTGTACGCTCTCGTGGTACTCACAAAGACAAAGTTTCGCCGAGACGAGACTTTAATTAATTGAAGCGATCCCGCACACTTTACCAGCGCGCCGGCGAGGAATCTCTCTCGCCGCGGCCTCGGGCGGCTAACAACTTGGCCAGTTGTTAGTTGCGGTCAGAGGTGGATTCGGTCTGTCTGACCGCTTCTTTCTTTTCTACTTACTGTCTTTCACTTTTCCCATCGTACTTTCGGTCCATATATTATGTCTCTCTACCCGTATTCCCGTGGCGCACTTTACCTCTCTTGCCGGTTCCCGAAGACTAAATAGAGATCGTTTGACTTTGCTTATTTCATTGCTACAAATTAGTATTTTAGTTGAAATAAATTGTAATTGAATTTTATATTTGAATTGTTGTAATTGTTTACAATTTTTATGCTTTAGTACCTTTCGCACACTGCGAGAAATGCATCAAAGTTGTTCATGAGCGATTCTACAATATAACTTTATTCTCTCTCTCTTTACTACTATTTATTTATTATTATTTAATTCCCGATGTAGTTTACTTGTCTATTTAAATGTTTTCAAAGAAGTCATTCTACCATTAAATATCTTTCATTTTTTATTATTATCTTTCATAACTATTATTTGTGTGAGTGAGCAATTATATAACAATTTCTTACAACATTATAAGCACTTTCTATATATTTAATTATTATAATGTACGGAGAAGAAATTATCACACCAGATCAAACATAATTCTCGAATACACGATTCTAAACTGAAATTTTGCATGTAGAAAAATGCTATACATGCTGTCTCAAGATTTAATTCCGGAAATGGATTACAATCCTAACCGCATTTGATTGTCATCGAGATCGATTGTTCGCCGTCAGTCGGTGACGAATATCTAATTTACGCCTGAGTCAAACGACAAATAATCCACGAAGTGAATCGAAAATAATCGGGACGTCTATCAGAAGATGGAGGGAGAAGCTGCTGCTCTCAATTTCAAAATGAAAACATTGTTATTTCATCCGCTTTTATAATTAAACTGTCGGAATTTATTCGTATAGTATGTTGTTTTTAATCACGATAGGATTATTTACTCAATGGGTGCGTATAATAGTACGTGTATATGTTGTATGAAGGTTTTGTTAAAAAAAAAAAAAATTAAATAAAATTCGATACACATTTATTTCTCGCCTATTATCAAAATGTCTATTGTTTGCAGTAGATCGCATTCCGTTCCGTCTGATCGCTCTGCGGTCGGGCGATTAGGAAACATATACGACTAATATATCGATCGCGTTGCGAACGGAGCACGTATGAAGCAACTCGATTACGCGATTTACACGTCTATTTCGTTCTCGCGCGAATCGGCTGGTAGCGAGCGACCGGCGTATTAATTTTGCGGATCATCGAACGTGAATTGCGTAAACGCACTCACGTACGACGACCCGCTGGTTCTTGTATTATTATATGTATTAGCTCTGCAGCCTATAAATACCTAAGACTAATTATTCTAGAGGCTATGATAGAGAGAATGGCTGAAAATGCGAGCTGGTCACGTCGATCACTTCGAGAAAGGAGAAGAGATTCAGACGATTTTCGCAGACGTAATTCTGATTTTTCTTTTCTTTTTTTTCAAGAAAAAGTTGCTGGTTTTTAGCCCAGTAAAATCGCGATCATTCAAAAATACATTTCTTCCGTTCTCCACGACGTGGCCAACTTTAGAGTATTTTTTATCTGCGAAATGAAAATGATCGGTATACTTATGCAATCGTTACTCTAGCCTTTCAATTAAAATCTGCGTAATAATTGCGTTCGAAATAATTCGGCTCGACTCGCTTCGCGATTTCGTGCCTCGTTATATTCACGAAGTGACGTAAATACGCCAAATATGAAGAAGAGTTTTAATACGAAAGCGAGAAACGAGCCGATCCGATCTGATAAGAGAGATTTCTACGATCGGGATCAATAATTACGTGGATACAATATTTACAAATGAAAAATGTAAAGAGATATACATAGAGTATAGAGTACAAGTATATAAATATTATAATATATATACTCGGCTCTTTTACTATAGGATTCAAATAAACACATGCACTTTAGGGATTTTAATAAAAAAAAATATATATGTATATATAATATATGTATATAATATACTTTTAAATAAGAGATGCGAAGCAACACTAGAATAAAAGTTACGTACCCTTCGATTTTTTTCTTTCTTTTTTTTATACTACATTCGTAATACCGTAACGGCACGTGAGAAGAGTACGAGGTACATCGAAAATAATTTACGCTCCGAACGGAGTCTCTCCGGAGAGGGAGCGAACTTAAAGTTAATGAAAAAACTTTTGCTGCAGTGGCGCTACTGCCGCGCTATTTCTTAGCCGTCGCAGCTTTTCTGAAAAAAGCATTCTTAAAAATCTTAATTCTCTCTTTTTTTTCTCTCTCACAGAAGGCAAGGACTATTATGCCTTCCGAATAAGTAGTACTGGTAGTCGTTAAGTCCGGCAGAAGAACTTGACGTATGTTGCGCATTCGGGACGCAAATTATTCGCACGTTTTTATTTTTACGGTAATAGTCGTACGTTTTTTTTCTTCACGATTTTCATTCGGGTTTCCGCTATTAATCGATGTAAATTTTACATGGAAGCAAAACTTTTCGAACATTTCCGCGAAAATGGTAAATAAAAAATAGAAAATGGTAAATAGTAATGCGATTTCGTCGAATATTTTCATTTACATCTTGACTATCGCGTATTCTCGAATATCTAGCGCGAAAAGCTTTTATATCGTTGTTATCGATTAAAAGTTGCCTGGATTTTACTCGGTTCAATTAAACGTAACGCAAATCAAACGTAATCGCGCGGAATCATGTCAAAGTAGCGGAATTTTTTCACGGAATTTCAACACTGTGGCCTTGAAAAATCAGTTTACGCGCGTATTTTACGGATGTCTTTTTATTATAGAGATACTTTATTAACGTAATGATTACGTTACACGATGAGCGCGTCGTTTTAGCCGACCGCGTTAATTAAAAATTCTATTACGAGACTGACGCCCTTCCTCTCTCGCGCGTGCGAGACTGAAATACTCTTGACAAAATGTTATTAGTCGAGACTACTGATTTGTCAATACAAAATGAGAATCGCTACGCAGATGTAACGAGGCCAGATTACCTGTTGTACATGAGGATATCCGGTTTCCAAAGCTTGTTCGGCGTAATTCGAAGGTCTTTCACTCCGCCGTACTCGGACTCGTTCCACTGAAGATTATAGTCTGTCCACTCCTGCGCACAGAAAGATAAAAGAATTAGAGAAAATCATATTTTAAATCCTCCTTCATAAACAGAGTGTTAAATTTCATAATGGGTTGAATATTTTTTATGCGAATTTTTAGAGATAATTTCTGGCAAAACGGTCTCTCTATCTGAGAGCTTTAATAGAAACATCCATGTATAAAGATTTATTCCAGTAAGTAACTTCTTCTTATAAGATCATTAATTTAGGAAACAAAAATAAACAATCATCATATAACGATTATTTAATAAGTTGAATATTTTTTTACAGTCTTATGCAAATTTTTAAAAATGATTTCTAGTAAAACGGTTCAAGTTTTAATAGAAACATTTATAAAAGGATCTTTATTCTAGTAAATAACTTCTTCTTGTAAGATCAATATTTAGGAAACACACAAAAATAAACGATCATCATATACTTGACGATTGATTTACTGTACTATATGTATAGTATCTATATAAGTATCTAAATACAAGAAATATAAAAATTAATAATAATATGTAAAATATTATAAAATGGATAATCTGAGGCACTATTAATTCGGATCTAATTATAAGTACAATTTCCCCGTTTAATAAACGCGATGAGCGTTCCTCCGACCAATCCCCATTATGCAAAATAAATGCTCGCGTAATTTTCAATTTTCGTTCCTCTGTTCAAGTAATATAATTATAAAATCGATATACGCGCGTGCTTAACGTTCGCTTTGACGTTTATATTATCGCCGCGTTCGAACTCCAGCGCGCACATAAATAGTACAACCACATCTTGTATAGCGAATAAAAATAATTTATGATAAAATTTTATATAGTGTGATGCAAGAGGCCGTTCTCTGCGGTCGAAAACTCGTTTAATTTAATTAACGTAACGCTCAATATTCGATAAATTAAATAGGCGTGTGTGTGTTGCTTTCTGTCATTTTACTTTTAATTGCTTTGATACAAAATATATTGTCATCCGTATTATAATTTTACGGTTTGTTTTCGCATTTAATTTTGTAAAATTTCGATAGAATTCAAAATGACATCGCGCTACGTATAATTTCAAATTGCGTATCACACGTTCTCAGGTAGCCACAAGTATAATACGAGCCGAAGAATTCCCGGAGCCTTATTCTCTTTTGACTACGGATAAATTTGCATGAGTTAATTAATCTCTGTTATATGAAAGATTAATTATCCGCGTAAATTCGCCGACAAAGTTTCACCAGCTAACCTGGAGCGGAAGAAATCGTGGAATTTCGTGGAAAACTGCCAGTGGAAAATCAACTATGAACTCTCTCCCTGTCGTCGCATTAAGTCGGAGTAAACAAGCGGAACACCTTTCACTGTCATCGATTTCGCGACAACAGTCTCTTGTCATTGCAGACAGGTGCCAATGGAGTTTATAAATCATGTTTAACTTGGACGATTAAAGTTTCTCGCGAAGAAGCGTTTCACAATCACGATATTCGATAATGACGCGAATTATTCTTCCACGATGCGATTCTCTTGCGATAATGTAATTGCGCGAAGATAAAGCTGCGCGTGTTCTCTCGTAAACGCGGTATACGGATAAATTGCACATACGGTACGAAATGATAACTGGACAAAAATAACAGTAATAATATCACTGCGTTCTCCTCGCGAAAGTATTATACGGACAAGCGCGAGTAAATTTAAATTAGAATTATCGCTCTGCTTGTACGCGAGAATGTAACTCTATATATCATCTCGCGCGCCATACGATATAACCGTAAACGTTTTTTAATCCTCTCTCCGTTCTTTTGCAAAGAGCGCGCGATTTATATACGAAAAAAATTATTATCGGAGAAATGTATTATACCGGTCAAAACGCGAAGGGAAAAGATATACCTGGAAGTATATCTCGCAAACTCGATAAATCATATTCTCCCGGCAGCGAGTCACGTCCGTCCGAAGGCGGGAGAGCTCGAGCGCGGGACTCCTTCTGAAAACCGTCGACCCTTCAACGGATATTTTCAACGAAGTCACGTATCTGTCGCTAAATATTCATTCACTCTCCGAGACACGAAACAGTCGGCCGCGAATCGCGGAAAACCATGCAGACTTATCCTATGCGGGTGCGAAATTCGCGAATTCGCGGGACCGCGCGCGCGCGACCTGGTTTCGTTCGCGAATAGAAAGCGCACTCGCGGCAACACGTTTTATAATGTATATTTCAATTTCCGGTACGTGCGCGCGCCCGCGCAGTAAGTCCGTGGCGGCGTTTGCTCATTAGATTACGCGGCTGAATTGCACAAACGAGAAATTCAGAGCGCCCCGACGCGATAAAAGTATCCATCCTCGTCGGCCCCGACGTCGACTCGTTTCCCTTCTTCTCGTCGCGCCGGTGCGTCGAGATTTTCAAGAGTTCCGTTTCCGCGCGATAGCCGTCATTTTGCTTTTACGGCGCGTATCCCCCGACGCGATGACACACGGAAACGCGACGTATAATGAACGCCACACTCAACGAAGAGGACATTTCCCGAAAAAATAAAATTTCATTCTCACGTTGAACGACCGTCTATTTTATTATACTCGTCGTGTTGAATTACGCCAATATCGTTGAAAATACCTGCTGATTTCCGTTCCCTCTATGCCATAATTTGCCGAAAAAAAATCATTCGTATGCCACAAATTTTGGCCCCCTTTTTTAATATTGTTTATAGTCTAAAAAGAGGTATTGTAAAATAAAGCAATAAATGTTTTACTCGATACGTCGATATTTTTTAACGGAACCTATATATTTTAATGCTACTGTCAAACATAACAACCATTTTTAATGACAAATTATTGAGAATAAAAAGCGACTCGATATTAGTGAATTATTAAATATCTGAGCGAGGAAAAAATTTAATGAAACGAGAGAGAAAGACATTCTTTATATTCTTAAATCCTATCAAAAGATTATTTCCATTATGTAAAAAAGACATTCGTATAGACCAATGTGAAATCATAATCTGAAAAATTTAATAATATATTTTACAATCGAAAAAATATATTTCCCTTTAATTTATAAATTAAAAATCATGTTTTAATATATTATATTAGAAATAAAGTTGCAAGAATCTACAAGTTAACATAAAAACGTAAAAAATTTTAATTGTTAAGTACATACACGTTTATCAATGGAATTATTGTCACATAATAATTAGTAATAGGCCGAATAATACCGATTGTACGATAGTACGATCAGTCAAAATATAATTTATATTTTGTCATTAATTTGACGAAGTAAAAATCAATTTTGGCATGATATTATAACTTCCAGCGAATAAATTTCAAATATCTCCTTCTTTTGTTAATAACACGATTATAGGTAATATATCGATTTTTTTTAAGGATAGGACTCTACTTGATTTTCTTACATTTACTTATTTAATATCGTGCTAAGGCACAAACTCTTGTAATAGCGTTATGTAGGACGTGGTAACATAGTTTCCAAGTTGGTCGGAAAATCTCCAGGGAAAAATGCGTCGCATTGTTTCATGAAGCTAGTTTTACAACGAATACTCTTTGTACGTTATTACTTAACTTCGCGTTCTTGTACTCCTTATGTACTGTGTATCGTAATACTTAACGAGCCATAACTCTCGCGTTTTCCGCCATCCGGGGCGTTAAGCTACTACCTTAATGCTATAATCGAACCCTTTCCACATCAAAGCGAACGATGAGAGCGATGCAGAAGAAAAAAATGGGGTCATCGGCCACGATTGTGTTACTAACAAGAGCTGTTAATAAAAATTGTGTAAGCTGTGTGTGTCCGGAAAAAAATTGTATATCTAAAAATATATATAAATATATTTATTAAGTATCTCGCTTTCGGATGTAAAAAATTTTTAGCTTATGTAAAAAGAGAAAAAATATAAATTGATTAATTAGATAAGTAACTTTTGTTTCTCCCAAGTAAATCTGCACTTTTTATCCGGGAAAGAGAGAGAGAGAGAGAGAGAGAGAGGATGTAGAAGCTGAAATGATTCACAAGGGAAAACGCCCGAAACTCTAACGATTAAACAGAAAAATACGATAATGCTGTAAGCTACTTTTCTGTGACAAAACTTTGGAGTCTTATCGAAGGCAAACCCCTATTAAACTTTGGATTAGGTAAACATCTCAACGTATAATAAACACTGATATAGCGTCCATGTCGATTACAGTAAAAAATTTTTATACCGTGTATAAAGTTATACATTTTTAGAATCCATAACAGCATCTGCGTACATAAACAAACTTTAGATAAAATAGCGAATCGTTCAAAAATATAAATTAATATTTGTAAAAATAAGTATGACAACTAAGATAATTATAACAGAAGAAAGACAATTTTGTTAGAAACTTTATGTAAGCTTGGCGGTGATTGAAAGCGAAGTACATCGTCAACAGATTTTTTTTTATCAAAGAGAAAACTTTTAGAAAGCCAGTATATTTTTCTCTTACAAGGGAAACTTTTATCGAATCAAACTTTTAGCCATTATTGACCTGCAACGATGTTACGGTGTGTTGTAGCAATTTCTTATATCTTTCTGTTGTATACACAAGCAGTGTTTGTCACAATGGACAAGTGGCATGTGGTTCACAGCCCGTTTTCGCACAAAGATGTATTGACGTGAAACAAAAGTGAATTCTTTATCCCGTAATATTATAAATGTAGAATCAATGACGAAAAAAATTTCATATACAAATTTTTTCCTCGGTTGATTTAAAAGCAGCGGAAAAGTCACTTTATTCCATTTCACGTTAAAAGAAGGAAACAAGCGCGACGTTCGTGCTCAATTTGTTAAATAACGCGTTAAGAAAGCCCCTAATTTATGGACGCGTTCTTCCCATCGTGGCCAGAATAGTATGTGCGGCTAACTACGCACACATACTATCCGTCTTCGGATGGCCACAATGGGTAGGCGTATGCATTCTGCCGCCCCCTCGCGCGCGCATTAATGCAACGCGTGCTTCGGGTTAAGGTCGGGGGCCGCTATATATGTAGTACGACGATC